ATCTGTCAATCAGGACGGCCAAACAAAACGTATATATCTGGGGTTCTGATTTCGTGATAAGATTATTTAATGGAACCGACTGAGTGAAAGTTATGTACAAATGACGTCTTTCTGTATTTTTTTTTTTTTTCAGGTTCCCCTGTACTCAGATTGCTGGGAGGAGCTTGAGGAAAAGGGCATTCTCAGGATGGATCTTGTCGATCATGTTTTTGCAGATTTCATTCAGAAGGGCCTTTCAAAGGAGGATATTTTAAACATGATGGAGCTGTATGGTTTAATTGCTAAATTTTCCTTCTGTCCAACGGATGGCGAACGTAAACAGAAGTACTTTGTACCATCCTTGCTCAGGTCGCCCCCTTCAGGCCTGTATGAGATAAAGCCCTCTAAGTGTGATCCTTGCCCACTGTATCTACACTTCCCTGATGGCTTTGTACCTCATGGGCTCTTTGCTCAACTTGTGTCAAGATGCATAGTTTGGTGTTCTGGGTGCAGCCCCGAAATACCTGAATTGTACCAAAATGGAGCCATGTTCTTCTTCATTAGAAAGCAACACATTTTTGATTTGGTTCTTATTTGCAGAAAGAGCTTTATCAAGATCATAATGACACGAAATCCTCAGGCTTCAGCTCCTTCAACCACATATTCAGCGACAAAGGCTCGTGAAGTTCGTGTCTTTTTCGAAGGCACATTGAAAAAAATGTCAGGAGAGTTATCCTGGCTACGTAACCTGCGGTTTGAACTGTGTGTTGCCTGCACCCACTGCTTAAAAAGTCCTGACCAATGTAGCAGACATAGTTCCGTTCGCTGTGCTGACGATGACTGCCTGCGTGACTGTCTTCTTCCGTTACGTCCGGAAGAACAGCTGAACTGCCGGAAGAACTACGCCAGGGAACAAATCAAAATCTGTGGATTGGAAAAATGGTTGCTGGTCCATGAAATTGAGGTAAAGATCCTTTCAAACTTCGATAAGCAGCAGTTGAATTTTAAAGTGTTATTTCTCCCATTGAATTTGACAGTGACTAGAACTCTTTAGATATCAGTTTCTCCCAGCACCTCACCCAAAAATTCTTTTTTGTTTTTTGTTTGTTTGTTTGTTTGTTTTTTTTTAATGTTAGGACTTCATTAAGGACTAATTTCTACCAGGAGCCCTAATATTTGAAGAATAAAATATCCACGAAATACAGATTCGCACGATATTTTCTGACGGTCGTTGGTACGAAATAAAGAGAGAAATTAGCAACAAAATAGCCGTCCTACTCCGATTTGACCATAATTTTATTCCCTGGACCAACTGATAAATGCATTGTACCAGGATCATGCCAAGGTCAAGGTTACTCATGTCCAACGTCTGATCATAAAACAAAGGATTTATGGTCAAAAAGCTAAGTTGCTATCTTATTGCAACTCAAGCAATTCCATAGAGGGTTCAAAAGAAATTGCTCTCCACGGAATTCAAATCCATAACCTGGAAGAACGATGATTTAGATCGAGAACACAAGGGTACTGTTTTTTTTTTTTTCTTTTTTCCAGAGTGAGGAACGAGAGTCGGTTTCTGGGAACCCAGAAGGTAAGGATACTATGCTTTCACCTTTACAGTCACTGCTGGCTGGTCAAGTGTTCTTCCAAATAACCAGAAGTGCAGCTCTGTTCGCTGCTATTGTTTTATTATTTTAGCAGCTGTTCTTGTTTTAGGGTTAGGGGCATTGTTTCTGCTGTTTTTTGTATTTTTCCCTTAAAGGCTATTAAGCCATTCATGTGAGACCTTACGAAGGCTTCTACATGATCCCAAATAACGAAGTAGCTGATTCATTTATTTTAATTGCTATTATCACCAGCCAATAATTGCGTGAACGCATTTTGTTGTCACCAGCGTTTCTCACTCCTCGGCAAAGGAGCGAAAGCATGGCACGGGAATTCTCCGTAAATTAAAACCGGACGTTTTGGTGGAACAAACTAAATAAAAAAAACAAAAGTATATGGTAAATAGAACTAAAAACTCAGCATCCAACGAGATAAATCCCCTCCTTCAAAAAGGCGACAGTAACATTAGGACAAACAAATGCAAAAGATCTGCACATTCTTGCCTACCAAAAGACATTGCAATCTAGATTAAGTCACGTGAACAGGCGAGCCCGCAATGGTCATCATTGTAGGATAGCGGAACACAGCCCCAGGCGGTCCTATGGCATTTCGAAGGAAGAAAGTTTAATTTATACGAACCTGGGACATATAATTAGCACAACCAAAAGTTCCATGTGCAGCGGAAGCGCACCAAAGTAACCTTACATTTTGGTGAATAAGAGAGGCGTTCATATACATAATAACCACAGTAAGAAAAGTTATTCATTTTTACTTTATCGACATCCAGTTTTGTAAATGTGGCTGTCATCCTTTTTACAACGTGTTTAATGCTCATGCAATTTTATGTAAATCCATTTAAAAATTTGTCAATTTGTCTTGGATCACAGCTATTCCTTTTCCTATTTTAGGACCTGCTGTGAAACGAAAGATAGCATCGTCAGGTACATGTAGCAGTGCAAAACCTCCTAAAATCACGCGTGAGTATTCAAACTAAACTACTTATTGACATACGCGATTTAGTTTCGGATTCGGCTACTGTCCCTAACAATTGGAGGCTGATGCGTTGAATACTCCTAGTAAGACACGGATTAAACAACTCAAAATTTTAGAAAGAATAAACTATAGGAGAGCCTCACGGCAAGCTAGGCCATTTACTAGGTTCGTATTGGTATTGGTTTCTTGGCGTTTCTTACCCTGGGCCTCTCCGTTCCTTAGTGGCGGTGCAGTCGCTACTCAATGATTGTAAAGCACTTCACGAAGCTGTAATCTAGAATGTAATGTTAGTGCAGAGATAGTTATGGCCATCAACAGGTAAAGTCGATGTCCTCTGCTCTTCTGAAGTCTGGGGTACCCTTGTCACACCGTATCGATCGCCGTGATTTGCCTCTCTCCTTCTAAGAGAAATACAACAACAGCTACAACATTATATAGGGACAAACAAGTGTGGAAGATTTGTTTAATCCCATCGGTTATTATCACTCTCAGACATGACCTGGCAAACTAGAATAGATTATATGAGCACAGGCTAAGCCTTACAAAAGCGGGAACTCAGAAAAACATCGCTGTGGGGAAGATGGCACCAAACGGGAGTCCTGCTGCAGTTTAAACGAAAAGAGGAATAAATAAGAAAACAGCCTAGTTACTTCGTACGAACATTACATGTAGGTTATTTGCACACCGAACACGGAAGAACCCAAAAATCGCCTTGAATTCCAGCGAACAAGAGGGTGTTCGTATACATTATAGCCACAATGAGAACAGTAATTCATTTTACTTAATCAACATTTAGTTTGGTAAGTTTGGTTGTGTTCTTTTCATAGCTTGTTTATTGCTTCCCTTAATTTTCTGTAAAAGTCATGTACAAATTTCTCAATTTTCTTTAGATCACAGCTATTTCCGTTTTCTATTTTAGGATCTGAAGTGAAGCAAAGGAGAAAATCACCAAGTAACAGCTTAAAACGTCCGCAACCCACATCTGACAGATCTGATGAAAATTTTGCGGGTAATATTTTTAATAAGAAGAATCCAAACGATAGGGCCACACTTTCTCACAATGTATATCCTCGCCAATAGCATTGTCGCATTGGTATAAGCACATCCGTTTCTCAGAAAGCCACAGAAAAATGAAGTCTCAAAATCTGTATAGAAATGTACTGTTTGTTAGCACTTTTATCACTCCGCAATTTTGCAGTTTTTGATGGCTTTCAAAAAGCGAACTATTCCACCGTTTACCACGTTTTACTCGTAAGATCTTTAAACTGTTGGAGTCAATTCTTATGTGGCGTAATAGCATCTCGTATTTAATTTCATTTCACTTATATGTTGATTCTTTAGTGTTTAGAGGATGAAGCATAAGGCCCGCTTTCTTTATTCCAAGTCTGACTTGCATTACAGTTGATGTTCGACTCAAGAAACGGCCAAACTATTTGACAAATACTGACTCTTTCTTCACGATATGGTGACATTGTATCTTTCTCATTTCGCTATCTAGCTTGAAATTTACCATTTTTTTCTAGGTCACAGCTCCATGACTGTATTCCTTTTCTATTTTAGGGCCTGCTATGAAGCAAAAGAGAGAATCGCCAGGTAGCAGTGCAAATTACCCTAAACTAACGCGTGAGTATCTAAACTAAACGGCTAAATTCTACTACGCATTTATTTTGAGGAGCAACTTTAGGCCAGTCTTTTATTGGAAGCGCAGTGGCCACATGGTTAGTGCGCTTGTCTCCGGATCGAGCGGGCCGGGTTTGAGAACGTAAAACAGTCGTTTTACCTTTTACCTTAGTTCACGTAACTCGGGGGTGACAGCAACAAAATAGGCGTTTTGCAAAAGACGGTCACATGGTACAAAATCCGCTGTGCAGTAGGGCAAGCTACGCGCTGGGACAAAAAAAGACAAAAAAACTACGTATAATGTCATCGTTTTTGCAAAAGACCAA